AAGAAATCTTGTCACACTTACAAGGCTCTCAGACCGAGAAACTGATTGTTTATTCACCCATACCAACTGTATTTGCGGTTAAGCTGTAGCTCTTGTGTCTGCCTCTTGTCGGTCTCCGCTATCCCAACGTTTGTTCATCCTTTTCTTTCAGTAGCTGAATAGGTCAGACAAGGAAGCAGCACTGAAAAGAAAATTACAAGTGTTAAAATATATTATTCTGTTATCAAACCTCATAAGGACAACGTTAAGGCAACTTCACGTTAACATTAATAAATCCTAAACTAAACGGAGAAAACTAGGCAACTTTCGTTATCACAAATAGCGCCACAATAAAATGTCTACCAAATATATATTCAGTCTCCACAATGAAGGTTCAATAGAATTCTCCTTCCACTAGTCTACGTTCTAAGCTGTTGTGCTTAATACACCTAAACCGGCATGTATGTATAACGTTCCTATCAGATGGGGATATTAGATACTTATAATGCTACGCTTTGATCTACTCTGTAATGCTCCATATAGAATAGCAGCACATTGCTATGTATACTAAGGCTTAATACAAAAAAATATAACTTTTTTATATTCCCGCCAAAACAAAGCTGCAAGGGAATTGTCGCCTTCATCTCTATTTATTGTTAGTATTATTATCGAACATCTAAATCAACACCCAGTGAACATCAATAACGTTAAACTGTTTATACGTTCATTATATTCCGCTGTTCCAATTAAGTTTCTCGCAATAAATAAACAAGAGTGGGTGGCGTGCCTGTAAGGAAGTTGGCGCGTATAAGGGTGTTGGCGCCCAAAATTTGTTGGCGCGCAAGGATGGTTGGCGCGCAAAGATGGTTGGCGCCCAAAGATGGTTGGCGCCCAAAGATGGTTGGCGCCCAAAGATGGTTGGCGCCCAAAGATGGTTGGCGCCCAAAGATGGTTGGCGCCCAAAGATGGTTGGCGCCCAAAGATGGTTGGCGCCCAAAGATGGTTGGCGCGCAAGGATGGTTGGCGCACAAGGATGAGTTGGGAAACCTGGGTTGGAAGCCTTGGTGGATTAGAATGGTAGGGAGGCGCGCTTGGTTAGGTAGGAGCGCCAAGTGGCTGGGGTGGGTTGGTGTGCTTTGGTGGGGGGGGGGGGCCGTGCACGGGTAAGGGGCGCCTCTGGATGGCAGCCATACACGGGTAAGGGGCGCCTCTGGATGGCAGCCATACACGGGTAAGGGGCGCCTCTGGATGGCAGCCATACACGGGTAAGGGGCGCCTCTGGATGGCAGCCATACACGGGTAAGGGGCGCCTCTGGATGGCAGCCATACACGGATAAGGGGCGCCTCTGGATGGCAGCCATACACGGGTAAGGGGCGCCTCTGGATGGCAGCCATACACGGGTAAGGGGCGCCTCTGGATGGCAGCCATACACGGGTAAGGGGCGCCTCTGGATGGCAGCCATACACGGGTAAGGGGCGCCTCTGGATGGCAGCCATACACGGATAAGGGGCGCCTCTGGATGGCAGCCATACACGGGTAAGGGGCGCCTCTGGATGGCAGCCATACACGGGTAAGGGGCGCCTCTGGATGGCAGCCATACACGGATAAGGGGCGCCTCTGGATGGCAGCCATACACGGGTAAGGGGCGCCTCTGGATGGCAGCCATACACGGGTAAGGGGCGCCTCTGGATGGCAGCCATACACGGGTAAGGGGCGCCTCTGGATGGCAGCCATACACGGGTAAGGGGCGCCTCTGGATGGCAGCCATACACGGGTAAGGGGCGCCTCTGGATGGCAGCCATACACGGGTAAGGGGCGCATCTGGATGGCAGCCATACACGGATAAGGGGCGCCTCTGGATGGCAGCCATACACGGGTAAGGGGCGCCTCTGGATGGCAGCCATACACGGGTAAGGGGCGCCTCTGGATGGCAGCCATACACGGGTAAGGGGCGCCTCTGGATGGCAGCCATACACGGGTAAGGGGCGCCTCTGGATGGCAGCCATACACGGATAAGGGGCGCCTCTGGATGGCAGCCATACACGGGTAAGGGGCGCCTCTGGATGGCAGCCATACACGGGTAAGGGGCGCCTCTGGATGGCAGCCATACACGGATAAGGGGCGCCTCTGGATGGCAGCCATACACGGGTAAGGGGCGCCTCTGGATGGCAGCCATACACGGGTAAGGGGCGCCTCTGGATGGCAGCCATACACGGGTAAGGGGCGCCTCTGGATGGCAGCCATACACGGGTAAGGGGCGCCTCTGGATGGCAGCCATACACGGGTAAGGGGCGCCTCTGGATGGCAGCCATACACGGGTAAGGGGCGCCTCTGGATGGCAGCCATACACGGGTAAGGGGCGCCTCTGAATGGCAGCCATACACGGGTAAGGGGCGCCTCTGAATGGCAGCCAGGCACGGGTAAGGGGCGCCTCTGGATAGCAGCTATACACGGGTAAGGGGCGCCTCTGGATAGCAGCTATACACGGGCAAGGGACGCCTCTGGATAGCAGCTATACACGCGTAGAGGAATACACATGTGCAAGAGTCATGCCTGGAAATAGGCAGACAAATGACAAAATATTCAAGAGTGAAAAAGAAGTGACACTCACCTGACAGAAGCTGAGGCAGGACTGGCGCCACGCGCCGCCCTCGCCGCTTATATACTTCCCGCCCATTTTCCCGCCCTTTTTTCCAGTCACACAATTCGGCAGTTCTTCATAATTACTGACATAAAAACATATTAATATTTTATCCTATGCTATTGCCTGAAAACATAACCGGAAAGTGAGATCTAATATAGCGATTTAGCTGTTGGTAAGTATAGTCTATGCAACCTGTATTGTCGGTCCGCTCTCATGATTCAACGGCTGTAATTTTTATTCTGTTGTTTGCCTTACCAGAAACGTTTCAACGTAACCTGTTAATGATGTAATAATTGAGTGGCTTTAAAATTGAGTAAAAACTCTGGCCGAAGCTGACAAGGCCAATTTGACAGTTAACAGAATAAGGTTACGTAATATGGAAATATGACAAGGAACACCATCATGGGGTACAAATATCTACCGAACAAAAAACTATTATAATTAAAAAATTAAAAAAAATTAATTGTTCCTGTATGGTTCCTGAGGATTATTTCAGCTGTATTTAATTTAATTTTAATATAACAAATTTATTTTATATGCAGCCCATCCTCTTGTTTTGGTAGTACTTATATAACGATGAGGACCATATATATATATATATATATATATATATATATATATATATATATATATATATATATATATATATATATATATATATATATATATATATATATATATATATATATATTTTTTTTTTACTAACGTACAGCGAAATTAGAACGTAGAAATCGGCTCTATTGATTTGGACAAACTGGAAAACTATTTTTTTCACTTGTGTTGCACTGACAAACGAAATTAACCTAACCAAAAGTTATTAACATTAAGAAAATCCAAAGGAGCCGTGATGAGAATTCGAATCTATGTGCTGGATATTTTAGTCTAGTTGAGTAATCCACTTCGATTTATCTGTGTATTATTATTATTTGGTAATTATTATTATTATTATTATTATTATTATTATTATTATTATTATTATTATTATTATTATTATTATTATTATTATAAAGCGTCAGGGGGCCTGACTGCTGAGTGGACAGTGCTCGGGGTTCGTAGTTCTCAGGGTCTGGGTACGATCCACTGCGGAGGCGGAAACAATTGGGCAGAGTTTCTCTCGCCCTGATGCACCTGTTCACCTAGCAGTAAATAGGTACCTGGAAGGTAGACAGCTGCTACGGGCTGCTTCCTAGGTACTCACCTAATTGTGCTTGCGGGGGTTGAGCTTTGTCTCTTTGGTCCCGCCTCTCAACTGTCAATCAACTGGTGTACAGATTCCTGAGCCTACTGGGCTCTATCATATCTACATTTCAAACAATGTATGGAGTCAGCCTCCACCACATCACTTCCTAGTGCATTCCATTTATTAACTACTCTGACACTGAAAAAATTCTTTCTAACGTCTCTGTGGCTCATCTGGGTACTAAGTTTGCACCTGTGCCCCCTTGTTCGTGTCCCACCCGTGCTGAAGAGTTTGTCTTTGTCCACCCTATCAATTCCCCTGGGAATTTTGTAGGTTGTGTGTGTGTGTAAATATTAGGATTAAGGATTTGCCGGAAACGCAATGCGTGCTAGTGGCTGTACAAGAATGAAAAAACCTCTCATACCTGAATCTCCCATTGTTTATTTGTTTTTTATTTATTTATTTATATACAAGAAGGTACATTGGGTTTGTGAGAATACATAGCATAGTATTTACAATCTTGTAAAGCCACTAGTACGCGCAGCGTTTCGGACAGGTCCTTAATCTAACAGATAATTTTAAGTAGGTAAATTCTAGCAGAATTAATAAAATGATAACAGATACATTGCAAGAAAAAATGAGATGAGAGAGATTAGTAAGTATATTAAAGCACATTGGTATATTAAAGCTCTGATTGATTACATTGACAGCTTGATTGGTAATTTAAACAAGATTAATAGACACCATACAGCAGATTGACAGCACATATAAGAAGACAGCAATGATCACAATGCTAAAGATGAATTAAAGATAAAGATTTGTTGTTCGTGAATCTCAAAATACGGGCAATCTTTACCACTGTCAGACAGGAGCCCTGCTGGTAGTCTCAATAAGGTCCTCTTTATTATTATTATTATATAGTCAAGGACGAGGCTTTAACTTCCCTCTGACCCTGTCCAAGGTGAACCATATAGTCCCTTTACTCTGGTTACACATCATTCTATTAAATAAATGGCCACGTCTATGGTACAAATCAACCTAATGAATCAACATTACGCAGTGAGCCGTATCATCAAAATATACTTTGCTAGCTTTTTTTGTTGATATGTATGTATATATATATATAAATATTTACTTACAATACATGTAAGAGATGGTTAGTGTAAAATAAAGCGGTATGTGGCAAGGCCGCGCAGAGGGCGATGTCGTCAGTCGCAGCCGTGCCAGCGAGGAGAGCGGGTGTACGGTGCCGTCCTTCTCCCGTCTATTATAACTCGTGGACAGGGATTCACAGTTATACTTGGCGACATGGCTCCCGGACCTCACAGAGAACTAAGTAAAGATACACCAGACATTGAGGTAAGATGCCAGAGAGTCACAGACTACAGCTGTATTTTATAACTGTATCGGGTTTTATCCGGTATATTCGTGTCTGTTAAGAGTTTAAAGGGTTAAAAAATAAGTTGAATTTATCATAAATTTCCAATTATCGTTATACTTTAAGAAGAGTTGTAAGTTAAAACCATCTTAAAGCATTGCTTGCGAGTGGTATATTGACCTCATTCCATCCCATGAGTGGTAGTGAACCCTACATTGATCCTGTGAGTGATATTAGTGAACCCCTTACCCATCCTGTGAGTGGTAGTGGACCCCATACCCATCCTGTGAGTGGTAGTGGACCCCATACCCATCCTGTGAGTGGTAGTGGACCCCATACCCATCCTGTGAATGGTAGTGGACCCCATACCCATCCTGTGAGTGGTAGTGAACCCCATACCCATCCTGTGAGTGGTAGTGGACCCCCATACCCATCCTGTGAGTGGTAGTGGACCCCATACCCATCCTGTGAGTGGTAGTGGACACCATACCCATCCTGTGAGTGGTTGTGAACCCCATACCCATCCTGTGAGTGGTAGTGGACACCATACCCATCCTGTGAGTGGTAGTGAACCCCATACCAATCCTGTGAGTGGTTGTGAACCCCATACCCATCCTGTGAGTGGTAGTGGACACCATACCCATCCTGTGAGTGGTAGTGAACCCCCATACCCATCCTGTGAGTGGTTGTGAACCCCATACCCATCCTGCGAGTGATAGTGGAAAATTTTAAGTTACGTAATCAGTACTAGATCTAACCCCCAATGTTTCATAAGGTAAACAGTTTACATTTGTTATGTACTTTAGTTGCAGGTTTTGCTGTCTCATATTTGTGTTAGTTACAAGGACAGAGATTATATGACCGTATATCTCGCTACGGTATACGACCATGATGTAAACATGACTTGCAGGTAGTGGAAACCTACAGACAGACAGACAGACAGACAGACAGACAGACAGACAGACAGACAGACAGACAGACAGACAGACAGACAGACAGACAGACAGACAGTGTGTGAACCAAAGCAGTCAACACTATCCAAACTTGGCACACCCGGCTAGGATTTTGGGTAATGGTGTCATCCAGGATACATTTCATGGACACACACACGCATGCACACACACACACACACAAGTGTTATATATGACAAAGAGTGCTGGGAAGACGGGACACCGCGATGCGTAGCTTTCAACCTGTAACTACATTTATGTAATCACACACACACACACACACACACACACACACACACACACACACACACACACACACACACACACACACACACACACACACACACACACACACACACACACTGGAAATTAGAAATTCAAATGAGCCATCATAATGAATGAATGCACTTTTGAACGATTCAGGTTAGCAAGCCGTTCTCACCATATGACGAGTTTATTTGTTTACAATAAACTTTACAATAAATTTACATTTGCTTTACAATAAACGTAAAATCCTACTCTGACCCACCAAACCTATCGATATAATTTAGTCCCCAAAGCGTACAACAAAATTCAACAATTTTGTTTCGTTGTTGATGAAATCGTCGTTGGAAGATGTTTTGTTGATGATGTAGTGGAATAGATGTAGATATAGTGGAATTTTGTTTCCACTAAATTCAATTTGTACCCTATAGTCCGTGCCGTACAAATATATTACCCTCCCGGGGTTGTGACCCCCGCCCACCAGTCTCAAGAAATGAGGGTTAGGTAAAATCAATAAGGTTCAATCCACCCGTCAACACGACGCACTGCAGCAGCCTGTAAGTCTTACAGGCCACTGTAAGAACCTGCCCTTAAGAACCAGTACCTGCCCTTAAGAACCAGTACCTGCCCTTAGGCTATCAGTGTTAGACTTTAACTGGCTAAACTTTTCACTCACAGAATTACCCGCACTACAATTAGCTACCAGCTCCCTGGCTCACTGAAAAACACACACACACACACACACACACATATATATATATATATATATATATATATATATATATATATATATATATATATATATACATATATATATATATATATATATATATATATATATATATATATATATATATATATATTAGTATATTTTGGTAGCAGTCTTTCCTGTAGACATATATTATTAAATATATGAAATAAAATATAGAAATTAGACTAGAAATAAAAATGAATTTTGGAGAATTGATTTTTGATTTACCTCCAACAGTGAAAAGAAATGTACGAAAGATTGAGAAAATTCGTGTTAGAATTATTAATCTTACTTTTTCGGTCATATTTAATATATATATATATATATATATATATATATATATATATATATATATATATATATATATATATATATATATATAAAGTTTGTGAGGGTACCACCTCTGGTGCCAATGTGGGGACCCATAGCCTCGGAGAAGAAAATAAAAAGTATTCAGAGGAGACCCTGTGGTCTCTCACTGAACACTATATATATATATATATATATATATATATATATATATATATATATATATATATATATATATATATATATATATATATATATATATATATATATATAATCAGGTTAGGCTACCGTTATTTGTGGCAGGCAGCTGCAGATAACGGATCTCCCAATCCTGAGCACTCTACGTGTAAACTCTGCCCTGTGCAAAGGAATTGGATCATAAATTTCAACACCATATTACTAAATGTCCAGTCATTAGACCCTCAAGACCTGCTGATATGACGTACGCAGAGCTCTTCAATTACTTTATCCATTCTTGTCTCTTAAAGATATCGTAATATATTCCAGACATGTCATTTTATGCGATTAATCTATGCTAATAAAAATAAATATATACAAAATTATGAGTGGGTAGGAGGGGGTGTGGGTTGAATGTATTTGTGTTCACAATTGGAGATAATTGTAATTTAAATCAGAGTGAATGCGCTTACACAGACGTACACACGGGCATGCACCACGTAAGCCTCATCCTCTGGAACGTTCACAACGTCACTAAACTGATAAATTAAATTCCCCGAACCTAACCAAGCCGAGGCTCCACAAATAGAAAATGGGACATACGTTAATATTGCAAGCTGCTATGATTTTTAGTATGTCAGTTTTTGCAACCTGTCTCGAATAGTACATTGCATTCTGACGTAAAATCCCCTAGGGCCAAAAACTTATGTACTAAAAATCTTAGCGGATCGCAAAATTGACGTGATGTCCCATTTTCTATTTGTGGGTCCTCGGTTAGATTAGGTTAGGTTCGGGCAATTTAGTACATCAGTTTATTGACGTTGTAAACGCTCGAGAGGACGGGCTGGTCATTCATCCTAACGGTTCAGAATAGAGGAATGTGAGAATCAATAACCAGTTTAACTAGTGACATTTCTGAACTAATTTTAGCATGCCACTCTCTCTCGCTCCCATCGTCCCCTGATGAATTTCGTACCATAACACGCCTCCCAATTGTATTTTATTTTGGTGCCTTGTGATAATTACTTACATTATTCGATTTAAAAGTGTAGTAGTGAGTGTGAAGGTGGTCGAGGAAAGTGCGCGGAGGCCAGGGTCGTGGATTATGTATTGTACTTCATGTGCTATGTAGGATTAGTTTAAGTATAGAAGCAGCAATCGCGAATTTTCCGTCAATATTTTCTCTGTTGTGTTTCATGGCTATATTCTCAATATACTGTCTCCTAATATGGCTTTCTTCTCGCCATCACAGTACACGTGAGGTACAGTTGAGGTTAATTTAACAGCACTGATTTTAAATTTTGCCCCAAAGGGCGAGTTTATTGGGCAGCGCCACACATCTTGTGAGTGGACATACCGCCATAGCAGCATGTACGACACTCCCCAATAGGAAGAAAACCCGCTGGGTTGTTCATCATTGATATTTATGCAGGCTTGGTCTTGGTTCCTGTGGGGGGAAACAAGCGTCGTAGGTGTTGGTTGATACGGTAGGTTATCATGTTATCTTGAGGTATACAGGTACTTGGTATACTAGCTTGCTATAGGCAGGTATACTTGGCTAATTGTTACCGACCCAGGGGTACTGGTGTATTTTGTACTTCATACTTATCCTGCTAATGGTAGTTTATTGTTCACCACTTACTCATCCTGTGAGTGGTAGTTTATTGAGCCTCCGAGACCGGGCCTCGGGGGACGCTAATCCTCGGAACCCATTCCAGGTAGGTAGGTTTGTAGATCTGAGTACCGATAGGGTCGTCAGGGGTCCCCATCTAGTTATGTTTACAAACAAAACGATACTGTCATTAGTAATGTTTGTTAAGCCAAGAGAAGCTGTTTATCTGCCGGACACTGGGCCAGCAAGTCGAACAGCTGTTGATAATTATCAACAAAATGCAATTAGTTTAATAGTTTAGTGCTGACCCCACGCCCATACTGTGGGCGGAGGCGGAAAGGTTGCAGTCACATATTGGGTCAGAAATTGGACCCAGTGTTTGTTTGTTTGTTCAATTTAATCTGTCTTCTATATGGCTCGTACAGTTTGCTGGGTTTCCTTCAGTTGACTGCACGAGTTGAGTGACGCGTCACTGTTGACAGATAAGTAGGGCTTCACTGTGACTACTGTATCTGTTACCCTGCTGTATCTGTTACCCTGCTGTATCTGTTACCCTACTGTAGCACGCCTACACGCATGGACGGGCAAGCCTCCGCGGCCACGCCCAGGATTAAGTGTGACCCCGTTATAAAGGATGCTGTCGCCTATAATTACACTTACGGGCTCACCATAGCCCGTGCTACATGGGCACTTCGTCCTGAGTAGCTAAAGCTTTAACAACAAATATAATTACACAGAGCAGTGCCCAACTTCCCAGTTTATATGCAGAGTTTACTTCAGGTCTAAATATTCAGTACTGAAGTATACTTGCTAACATATGTGAGAATGTTCAACATATGTGAGGGACCAAAGAGCCGAAGCTCAACCCACGCAAGTACAATTAGGTGAGTAAAGGTCATCAATATTGTAGCTGTCTTG